TTGCAATAACTTAGCCGTGTACACCATCATATTGTTTTTGCGAACGTGTGTGGTTAGAAATAATAATGTAGCTACGTAACTATCGTGGCGGGCCTTGTAGTAAAAACCGCATAGAATACGCGGTATGCCATGAATAAACATAAAGCATCGCTAACAAGTCCTTACATACGAAAGGTCCAACGGAACCGGAAAAGAAAAGCGAGAATACATTTAGAGACCGCGTATTAAATTTCAATATTAACTTGATGTTTTTGGTAATTAATTGATTGCAACTCCCAAAATGTTTAACTAAATTTGAAATTAGGCGAGGTACTGCTTAATTTTATTGCTTTGCCTTTCTAGAGTAACTGTCTGTAGATAGGCATACATACCTATACGTATACTTATTTGTTAAATAGCAACCTATATGATATCTGCTTGTATATTTTTATTTTAAGACTAAGTATACATATAGATGTGAAGAGAAGTCATTGTATTCCTTTTTAAGCAAGTTGTCCGCATAGTGAATGTGAAGTTTGTATTGTAGCGAAAGTGCAGAAAAGTATTTTTTTAATCAAAATGTGTACCAATTTAAAATTAACGACTGTAAGAAAATTGCTACATAACGCATTAAAAAGTATACGATCACGGAAATCGATCACCAGGCATTCTCTAATATTAATTAAAAGTATGTATAATTAAATCATAATCAAGAAGCACATGCTTCTGTTAAAAAAATATTACTACGAAAGAATATCCGTCCCACCCTTTATAAAAGAACTTCTAACACAGTAACATGGTGTCTTCTAGTAAATAGGATCGCAAGAGTCCCATGACTAGGAAACAAGCTGTTTCACAACGTACTAGAAACATCGCTGACGTTTAAAAAAGTAATAGGTAGGCACCGATCGTTTTCATCGTTAAGAAAAAACATTACAGGACATTCTTTGACCGACCGTCAGCCCACACACACTAATATCATTATAAAACTACACAATACATAGCAGTGTAGCCTCTCGGTTTTATACCGTATTAAATCCACATAATTAACACAATTGTCTAGCGAAGTGTTCTCTACTCGGATACATTAATTATCATCTTATGAAGTTATTTTTGGCATTAAATTGCATGCATAATTTCTGGTCTTCATTTATCAACTTTTATTTATTTATAACGCATGCCTTATATGGAATGTGTATGTGTTTGTTTTTCCATGGTTAATTTTAATCGTCTGCTTAAATTTAAAAGAGGAACGGTTTCCTTTTTTTTTGCGTCAGATAATTACGGGGTTATAAATACGTGTATGTATACCTACGTAGATATTGGGAGTAAGTAGGCAGCTAAAAGGAACGTTAACACTTCTAAAAGTTTTGATATTGAGAGATCAATTCATTGAAGAATATTGAAAAGGAAGACGTTAAGAGCTGTATTCATTTACTTAAATAAATATTTTTGATTGAAACGTCTTTTGAAAAAAAATGTCTAAAAGAAGGTTATGATTTGCAGTATGTTTTAAATTTTATTACAGTTTAGCATGCGCCTTGCTCGCATTAAAGTATTTTTCAGATCCCTTGTAACATTTGCCGTTTCTGAAGAAAAATATCCTAGGGCCTTTACTGTATTGGTACGTATAACCTACCTACTATGCTAAATTTCACTGCAAAATGGCAACATTTTTATGTTCAGTATTATTCAATCAAACAATCTTCTTAATAAAAGGTTCATGTCAATGTTCTATGTAAGCTGTAAACAAAGAAACTAAAATATATCTTCATTAAATGTTACTCGTGCATCATACAATGATCGTAAATTACTGAAATAATTGCTCATTAACTGGTGTTGGTAACATTGTAGCCTCATACACAACCGGTCTTAGAAGTTGCATTCAATGTATAAAAATATCATCTAGTAAAAGTTCATTGAAGATTCCAAACTTTTTTTCACTTTTTAAATGTCACGTGTCTTTCCATAAAACGAATTGGACCTTTTTCAATTACACATTTGCAGATAAATTTGCGCAAATACAGAGAAAAAAAAACATAATTTAAGTATGTCATAAGTCATAAAGTTGTATCTCGATTAGGCACAATAAAGATGTTCATCAAAACGGTTTATCAATTTTACGCCACACATCGATAGAGTTCGTGAATCGATCGCTTGTTTCAATATAATTGTTAATTATAGTCCTGTCATCGTCTTTATGCTTGTTTGTCGTATTTACGCGCTAAAAGAAATACTAGGGCCTCTGTGCTCCTTATGCCTAAACGCCTCTTACTTGCGCCTTTGGTCACGAACTCAACATAACTTCGTCCGGAAATTCACTGCATCTTGGGCTTGCAATAATTATGAGGTCACGGTGTGAACATTACCTATTTAAAAAGCTATAAACACGATAGAAACTTTGTTTGTGGTTTAATATTGAGCTACCCGCTGACTAAAATACTTTTAGACTTACAAAGGTCTAATATATTTATCTAAGTATGTGAAGCATCTGGGTTGACGTCTACTTGGGTCTTATTAAAAAAGTAGGTAAAATTTCGATTCACCTTACATTGGCGGTATGTACATACTACAATTACCGATCTACAAGTCAGTTAAAAGATTGAACACGGCTGCCGAGGGGCGCCAGGATCGTTCATTAAGGTGCCACCAGACACTAAACGTGAATATTACTTTTATTTTTATTTTTTTCTGTACTTTTATGTTAGTACAAGGACAGCTTCATTTTATTTGCGGTTTCATTTTTAAAGAAAAGTTTTAAACCCATACTAAAAAAAGGACGTATTATTCGCATTTTGTGGTAAAATGTAATGATTTCATGATACATAAGACTATCATGCTAATACTAATTAACTAATTATTAAATTTAATTATATACTTTCAGGTGTAACCTCAAGCGTAAAGGTACACGAGGTAAGTTGCTGAATACGTTTTATGTAAGGCAGCAACCTTAGGCTTTATTGCCCGCCGTCCGCTATCGACCTATCTGTATCAATTACTTGCCCCACTGTGGATTACCGAATTAACCACTCACATTAATATTTTAATCTAGAACCACAAATTTACGCAGCAGATGTACGTATTCATGATAGCTTCACAAGTATAGTATCTTCTAAATGTTTATCGTAATAATATTTACATAGATAGAAACTACTCCGTTATTAAAAGAAAGTGAACAATAGTCTTCGAAGTAAAACTAGAGCTAGAAATTAGTTTTTATTGCTCTCTAGAATGTTTAAAACATATAATAGACATATTTAATATATTATTTAGTAATAAACAATAAGATGTGACTCTACATATCACATTGGTCACGAAACTAAATACGTAATCAGCCTAAAGTGGAGAACTTTTAATTTATAAGGAGGTAAATGTGTAATTGGCGCCAGTAACTGCAAACAAAAAAAAACTGGACAAGTGCGAGTAGAACTTGCCCATCGGGGGTTACGTACAAATTTGTAATCAAAAATAATTGTATCTGTTTAACAATACCCCACATGACACGGTTAACGCAATTCAAAATTTGGACAGCCGTTCCTTGCATGGAGACCTTGTTTTTTCATGAAATAACGACAAATGTATAGTTTTCAGATTTTTCCCTATACTTGTAGTATAAGACGGTATTACTTGCCAAATTTCATAGTTCTAGGTCAACGGAAAATACCGTATAAATTTTGATTCCCTTACATACGGCCGTATATAAATGACCGTATCTTTGATTTTTTACAGCTTCAACAGACTGTGACCTGTTTATATCATTTCCAGACAAAGGGTCTTGACGGACAGACAGACGGACAACAAAGTAACCCTATAAAGGTTTCCTTTTTTCTTTTTGAGGTACGGAACCCTAAAAAATCAATGTAGATACTTTTTATATCATCGAAATTCAATCAATTACGTCTTATAGTGTGGACACGTAGTCACATTTTGACAACAAAATTATCATTATTTATCTCGTCGTTCCAAATGTTTTTCGTTACAATTACCTACTTGCGATAAAAATGTCGATACAGTAGTCATAGAGATTATTTTTGATATGATACCTGTTTATATGCTATAGATTTTTTAGTGTTTTACAAATCAAACGAAAAACTCAACCTTTTATACAGCAATAAGACATGTAAGTATTTCAGTGTTCGAAATTACGAACTTGTGTTGTTATTCGTTAACTTATAAATTGGGGTCCACTGGATTAGAACTCATGAAACAACAGTTCCTATTTAAAATATAAGATCTAAGTACATTAATTTTAGTTAACCACCAGTGCATTGCTACCAGGGCCGCTGGTAGTAAAAATGTGTGGACAAATTTAAAATACTATTTTCAATTTCTCCACACATTTCTTTAGTTTGATTTTGAACTGTAAGTACTAAGTTTTTAATGAATTTCAATTTGTAGTAGGAATTTTGATAATTTTCATTTTCTTTCTTTTCTTTTATTTACTTAATACAAACAATGGCAATGTTCATCGTTTATTAAAAAAAAGTATTACACGTGTTACTAGTTGTAGACACGATTGCGAAGGAACATAGTAAATATTAGTCAATTAAGTTGGTACAAAAAGAAAAGTATATACCTACTTTTTTTTTTATTTTGCCTAGAACATATCGATTTATTATTGAATATTATTATATAATTTTCAACATCAACACGTTACACAGTTAGGTACCTATGTACGTTGTCGTTAAATTAATAAATTTGATAACACATACCTACCTACTTATATAAAATACCCAAACATATGAAAATACAAGGAAAATATTTTATTTTTATAATTATCATTAGGAAGGGACGATCTTATCTCAAGTACATACTAGTCAGTGACAGGGTATCAAGAGACTCAAGCTGGCCGAGCTTAAACAGAAATGCAGTGCAATATTGTTTGCCAAAATAACATCGGGCAAGTCAACCGCAACGCAAACCACCAAACCGTAACACTGACACCCACCACCCCTCACAGAACATCCCCAGATAATACGTATCTATTAGAGCGTATATCTCCGATTCGGCTAAAGTATTCCTCAAACATGAAGATAGTCGACGAAAAATTCGAGTGGAGAAAATATGTATGGCAGCGCGGCATTCGGCATGCGAGGCGAGGGTCGACCGGGGACGGGAGGTTGCGGCGGTGGGGTGCCCCCCTCGCCCAGCAGCGCGCCAGTTCGTTTGCAACGTTCGCGCGTGGTGGATGTGTATCGCTCGTTTTTCAACAACAGTGCGTCGCGTGTGACTGACCGTGCGGAATACTTACGTGCGTGCATATCCTGTGTTGTTGTGTGCCCCCAGTGGAGTGAGTGCTGTGTCCTGTTTTACTGTGTGTTTTTGACGATGACCGCGTGTGTTTGACGAGGGGATGTATCCAAGCGCGGGCGCTATGAACGCCGCCGCCGCCGCTGCTGCCGTGGCGGCCGCTAGGCATCCGGTAAGTGATACTAGGAATCTAAGATGAAACCATACTCCACGGTTACACGTATAAGTGTATGTAAGTTAAAAAAACTTAAGAATTCTTAGCGCGTTTTTTGGACTGAGGTTTATTCAACACTCTTACATAAAAATATCTATACTGCCCATCATAGACATTAATGGCACTTTTATCCTTCAGATAATCTCTCGATACTTTCAGTGCATTTATTGGTGAAATAAAGTACTAAACGGTCCAGCCAGCAAAAACAAACGCGGTTTACAGCACAACCCCCCTCCCTACCCCAATGGCCCCTTCGCCATTCTGCGATCATTGTCAGACGCTCAATTACCCGTGAAATTGTCCGCAAAGGATTTTATCATACTCGGAAATCTAAACGACAAATTAACAAAGCTTAAAGCAGATCTTTTCAAACAATGTTCTAACAATTCGGCATAGAGTTTGCATCTATTTGTAAGGCATTTCGTGTACAATACTGTGTCTACCTTAACAAACACCTACATATGTATAAGTGTATAAATGGCAAAACACATGTGAAATAAATGCACTTTACATTTACATTGCTTGGTGACTAATCACCTTTATCTTAATACATATAACTAAATAGAGTTACTTGCACCATTTGTAACTAGAACTAACCCATTTTAAGTATTTTTTTGTTGGATTTATGCCCGTCCAGAATAGCAGAATAACTAATAAAACGTTTTAAAACTTAAGTTGTAAAGAAATAATTCCTTAAACATTGTGTTCAAATGTTGAACAGCGAAGCCATGACTAATAAGTTAATAACGCAGGTAAAAAAGGCGGGTTAGTGCTAGTGTTTATTAAAACAGAAAGTGTTACGTTTTAATTAAAGCGTAAACTGATCACAAGTTAAAATTGAAATTATTACATATTTGTGTATGTAAAAAATCGTTTTTTTAAACTGTAGTTGCTAAGAACTTAAACACTGACCGTTAAACTTTATTATAATTAACACGAGTATTAACGCTAACGGTAGATATTATTTATTACATTACACTTCTTGACGACATGACCACGGTCCACGCAACCTGGTGAACACGTAATAATAAATTTAAAAAGAACTTACAAAATGTGCCGCCTGTTTTGTTAACGTACCTACTCTTCAATGATTTTAAATTTTTTAAGTAATACATTGCTTGATTGCCTATTGAAAAGTATTTGTTGAAATATAAGAATTGCCCGTTGTGTGAAAATTTATTTTACATATTATGATTATCTACTCCTTAAGTAATCTAAATATGTAAAAGAATTAACAAAATGTTCTGTCCGCTGCTTATAAAACACGGTGAATCTTTAGTGAAATATGGTAATACAAAGTGACACTTGTTTTCAAGATCCGTGATATCACGCAGCATCATCCATAGATACTCGTATAGGTCAGACAATTAAGTATAACTAAATGGAGTATGGCAAGTTTAACTTGATACTTAGAATACATGGAAATCATCCAATCCTAGCAACTTACTTTGTACTCTTCGCTTTACTTAATTTTCAAAATCCAGAAAGAGGCGGTGTGATGACTAGGTCGCATATCGCAAGGATAAGTCCAAGGAAGTCTTTATACAGCAGCAAAAGAATAGTGTCAAGAGATACAGACAATAGAACTATGTATATATAGTAAATAGTTTTTATATCAATAACATTATATAAAACATGTCGATTGTACAGATAACATAAAATCCGTTGTATTAATTATTTTCAATTCATGGTTAATAATACGTCAAATGACGAAATAAGTCATTTAGAATGTTAAATTTCGTGGGAACAATATGACGTATCTATCCGCATGGAACCACTGTGTAATTGAAGTTTTAAACCAAAACTGTATTATGGTTTCAATGCACAATTCCGTATTTGTAAATCTGTTACTTAATTACATTTACATATTTAACACTGTCTTAACGACAGTAACAATAATCTAAGTAAGTTGCTAACTTACAACGGCGGTCGATGAAAACGTTCAACGGCTGTCCAGGAATCATGAAGAGGAGGTTTTATACAGACACTTAACAAAGTGCATTGCTAAATAGTTGATCATGTTGTCAAGACACATATTATAATCGCTAACAAACACAGTTCGGTTCTTCAGGGTGATTAGTGTTAGGACAGCTTAGCGTCAAATCTCTCTTTTTACACCTATGATCTGATCTTGTAGTTGAATCAATCGTATAGAAAGTGTTATATCTATTGTGTTAAGCTTAAAAGGTCATCTATTCATCAGGTTCTTAAAATAACAATCAAAATGTTAATGCAATTTGAATAATTGTTAGGATCAAAGGACGTGTGAATTTTAATAACAATCGTTTAATATAACCTCATTGTGTCCTTAATCATCATCATGGGAGTGTTAATTCCGGTTGCGCCCGGGGTCCTCTTGCCGACTCATCCTCCTCAGTCCCTCCCAACTAACTTGGCCCGGTGGATGCAACATGGTCAGACATTTGTTCCCTACCTAGAGCGGCGTTTGCCGCAAAACGTAATCCGCAATGTCACGGACACGAAGGCTACCACAGATGCGAAAGTTCCTCTCACGGTCCTTCCGCGTGACTCCACATATCCACCGCAACATTTTCATCTCTGTGACATGCAGATCCTCCTTTCCTGGCAGCCATGTAAAAGGACAGGCCTAATGATGGTTTTATAGACCTGACCCTTCAACCTGATCCTTTGTGGGTCACAAAGGATGACTGGTGTCCTTTGTGACCCACAAAGGACACCAGCCTTCTCACGCTATTTGGCCCACGCGGCAGCAATGCGTGCCTTGACGTCGCAATCGATGTCACCGGAGGCGTGAAATATAGTTCCCAGGTATTTAACCTGGTTCATGCGCTCAACCAAGTCATCGCCTATGCGAACGGATGTGGGATCTGTTGACCTTCAGACCGTCGTTTTCAAGCGTTTTTAGTTAATTAATAATTGTGTGCGTAATTGTGTTGTTAAATGCCATTAAAATTAAAGAATACTTTAATGAACATTTATTGAAGTAATTGAATGAGATACGAAACAGTATTTTACATAAAAAGTCATGTTAACAGTGATTACTTTATTACCGAGTTAATTGCACGTATTTTGTTTAGATGATAAGTAATGTACACAATGCTGTAACTATTAATCGGAGCATTCCCACGCGTGCACGTATGGCTTTTGCAATCGACAATAAAGACCACTTTAAATTGATCCCCTCTATTATCCTTATAAAGGCAAGAAACCCTCGTACAAGCCGAGTCCAGATCAACTGGCTCCCATGCAGGAAGTCGTACGACGCTTGTCGACTAATTGATGAATTCATTTTATTTTCAAAGGAAGCTTCGTTGCATTCATAAGCATTTCTTTTGGCCTTTTATACGTTTTTATGTTTCGCGAAATTTGCAATTGTTATAAATGTGTGGTAATACGATTCGACATTGAATTGTAACTTTATCACATGCACTTTTAAATCCTCGGCTTACGAATGATCGAGTGGATATTTTTAAAGATTTCAGGATATTCATCTGATTGCGGTATTTCAAATATTATTGATAGTAAGTGACGTTATGCTACAGTCACCTAGAGCCGTAGGTATTTCTTTTTATGTAGTAGGTATGAAGTCAGTTTGCTTTTACGACGCTTTAAAACCTGTATTCTGTCACAGAGTTGAGTCCTGAAGTGTGGATGGAAAGAGAGTGATAATGTAAATGCCTATTTGTCTGTTTGTATAAAATCCGTGTCGCGTCCTACTCGGTCAATATTTGACTGACAAAATTACCGCTACGAACAAATGAGATGGCGTCTCTTCAAACATACCAAGTTTTCTTCAAATATACATAACTTAGAGTTCTAGAATTAATAAATCTGTGTCAATGACGATTACTTTAATATTGTGTCGAGATGAGTTATCAACGGAAACGTCTTGTCAGGATTATCACAGTGATAAGTGGAGTGTCTTGAGTCAATGATCACCCAAAATAATGCTCGACATTTGTAATAGATAAGGTGGTATCAGCTTGCACAAACACGGCATTTGGAGTACGCAAACAGTGCTACGTCATAATCAAGATTCCATCAAATATTAGCTAGGAATGGAGTACTGACATACTTTACGTGTCTCGCAACTATCATTTATTTAGCAGATATTATTTCAAAGATAGGTGTTTCTAGGTGTTTTGATTTATTAGTCTGTTTATTAGATTTAAATGCAGACTTTAATCCCTGTACTGGTGAGAAGCCAGTAGTTAATGATAATCACTATAAAGTTACACAACTAACTCTAGATTTCCACATTGTATTGTCATTCAGCCAAACGTGTTAATCTACACCTATGTCCATGCACGAATGGTTTTAGAATTAGTACTTGATGTCAAGATTGTCTTGACGAACCCACAACATTCACCTCGTGTAACAGACGGTGTTCTGTTTCTGAGAAAATAAATCAGCTTTCTGATCCCCACGCTACCATATTAGTTAACCAATTTTTGTTTTTTTTTTAAAGCAAAGAGTAATAAATCCAAAAATGTCAATCTATTTTTATAAACTCTATATCACGCACTATAGAGCAGAATTTTGCCCGGGCAAGTTGACGCTAAGGCGTTACGTTACAAAGCCAATCTCAATGTTCAAATATTTGCCTATACTTGTTTGGTTTGTAAGTGCGAATGGTGTTTAGATGTTTACCGTGCCGCTGAACTTGTGTGAGTTAAGAGCGGCAAGCTTCTAATATTACCTACCAATAAACAGTTGACATCGATCCACTTTTCAGGTTTCCTGGAATTGAACATTGTTAATTTAAATCCCAAAAAAAATGTTCTTTCAATTTCGGGCTGAATTCATTCAGCCGTTTCAGAATTCGAATTTCAAATCCAATAAAAAGAAAATACTCTCCGAAGCGTACAGCAGGTAGACGTGGGCAAGACGTATTCAATAATTTGAAATAAGAACACGTACATATTTCTTTTTATATCCGTTTAAACGCATTCTGTTTAGTTTTGTTTTTGTGAATGGTTTGGTGGATGCGGGCCTTTCATCCGGACCCTCTATACAATACTGCCACTCAAAAAGTGTTCATTGTATTTTAATTTGACCTTTTCGGCGATAATTTATGGGAATCTTTTTTTTTTGTGACGAAGGGAACGTTTGCTCAGACTGTTATTGCGGAGGATTATTTTAGTTTTTTTTCTTATTCATCAGTTTAAAATTTTGGATCCATGATGAGGATTACAGTATCAAAAACGGGACGCGCATTAGTCGTGGGAAAGTAAAAATAAGATTTTATGTTTTGCGTTGCGCTATCACAGGCAGCCTGGATTCTTTATAAGAGGAATGATGTCATAGCTTTTATTAAGTTTTTATAAGCAAAAAGAATTTGAAAGGTTATTTTTATGCCATAAGGGGGCAAACGAGCAGACGGGTCACCTGATGGTAAGCAACTACCGCCGTCTATGGACACCTGCAACTCAAAAGTCAAAAGTACGTTGCCGCCCTTGGAGTCCCTCCCGCTCGAGTCAGCGGGAGAAGGGATTTGGGCTGCGGGGTAACCTCACTCACTCAGTGAAAGGCTACGATAGAATTGCTTAACACCGGTTTTCTGTGAAAGTAAAAATATTGTAACATTTTTGTTTCTTTTATCACGCATTTTGGAAAATTAAGTGCCCGGAAGGTACGAAAAATGTAAGACAATCCAAATATCTATAATTTGAAACCCATAACCATTTTTCATAATTATAAAAGGCACATCTAATCACTCACCTATAATATAAAGTTAAAAGATTATTTAATTTAATGATTCACGGATGTACAAGACAAACTAGTAAGCCAGGCTCTACCATCAAACCACACCGAGGTACAACGCCACACGCGAGCTTCACAGCTACCGTCCATATTGTTTTGTTTTTGTTCCAAACATACTTTGCGTCAGCTCGTAACTTTCAATACCTTTTTTATTTTCTGATCCGACGATATGAACATGGATAAGTAATTGCTTTGTCGATTTGCGTCTTCCAGTTCAATGTCTGTGGGGTTTCTGCTTTCTAAAAAGAATTATATTTTCAATAAGGGGATTGCCACGGAAACGAATAGACCACTAGAATTGAATTGCATATTTCCTGTCATAATAGCAAAGCATTAGACAATCTCGGTTGTAAATGAGCGTTGTAAATAAGCACGAATTGCGGCATATAAATGAAGTTAGAACGTTGCGAAGAGTGCCTAGACGTTGCGGTTAGGTTATCCACGTTGTTACCTATTACGTTATTAAGTGCGATCACCCATTAGGCGGAGCGTGAGACGGCGGCGTGCGGCGCGGAGGCGCGCAACCGCAAGCCCGTCTCCCCGGTGGTTACATTCACTAAATTCCCGGCCACATTTTTCCCGAGCCCGATTGTCCGCAGCTCCATTTACAACGTCTACACGCCGCGCCAGTTCCTTTTACGCTTTTATTTACGCTCCTTTTATTATTTTTAAAGTCCGTTTGTTCCTCGCGCCGGCTCCGAGCGGCGGTTATTTATTTTTTGCCGTCGGCCTCCCGGCGACCGTGTGTTGTTGTGTCCCTCGTTTTATTTTTATTTTCGTGCTTCTTATTATGGAGTTAGTTTTTTTTTTTACTTTGTTATTACGTGCTCGCGTGTTCGCCTTACTTTATTTTTGTGTTAAGAGGCGAGCGTTCGACTTTGTTTCTTTTTTTTATTAATCGTGGCTCACACCGAATTATGGTCATTAAAGGATAATTTGTATTATGGTAATTTGGGATGCGTGTAATTTTTGTTTCGTGATAGAAATGTTTTTGTTCAAAGACTGAGATTGATGAGTTGCGTTAGTATTTAGTAGGTACTATGTGTCTAATTTTTGTTGTGTTGAAAAATTGTTGTACATGGACATTCAGATGTTTTTTTTATCTTGAATACAGTTTTACTGGTCGTTATTTATGTGCTTTGTCATTAAATGTATGGTTTTTGTCTGCAGGGTCCTCCGCAGCCCGGCCAACCAATCAAGTTCACAGTTGGAGAATCCTGTGATAGGATTAAAGAGGAATTTAACTTTCTTCAAGCACAATATCACAAGTTAGTATAACATTAAACATACAACAACTATTACTTTATTACAGTACAAAAAAAATTAAGTGTGTGTTTATACCAATACTTGATCTAAAAAGCTTGAAATATAATATCGAAATGTGTGCCCCAGGCTAAAAGATTTACTGTAACAAAAATAAAACAAGTAAATTGGGATCATCCGGGATCCCCTGTCACCGGGTATCAGGGGAATCAACCCGTACCTGTCCCTTTGAGAACAGCCCTTACAAGGCTTTTTGCGACGCACCATTGTCGTCGATGAAAAAAAGGGATACAATGGGTTTTATTTACACGACTCTTTTAAAGTTTAGACATAAAACGGTGTAGGTACTATCCCTATCGGTCCTACCCTGAAGTGGAGCGACTGGATTAATTGGATAGACAGACTGCATGAAGCACCTGTTTATTTTAAAGAATCTTTCTTTAAACAAGTTGTGATTTTAGTTTAGGTACTTTGTTTGATTAGAAGGTAAAGTAACCACTTATTAATCTGATCTAGAAGTTATTCTCGTTGGCCTTCTATTTGGCTTAACTATCTACTTTGTTTGCAATGCGTCAATGAAGTCAAAATGTTCAGTTCTAGGTAATTTAGTACCAAATAATTACATTAATTATAATAATAATAGTTCAGACATCTGACACACAACGCCATCTAGTTTCGAACTAAGCAGAGCTTGTACTATCAAAACAAGATTGACTGATAGAATACTCACATACTTTTTTTTTGTAGGTACATACTTATTATACATAGAAAACATCCAAACTCCGAAACAACTATTTGCAGATCATACAAACATTTGGTCCGATCCGGGATTCGGACCTCTGCATTGATAGTTAATTACTAGCTAAACGTTTATTATGGGCCAAAGATATTGGAGAGTTCCTAGAATATGATTTTTCGAATATACGCAATGTAAACAAAAACCTTTATCTGTCAACGGATTGAATGTCTAGTATATTGCTCTCTAAACCTGTCTAATTCTTAATTATTTCGAAGATAAAATAGATATATTTCTTACAAAATTTCGCTCTCTAATGGCTATCTCTTTTGTAATTATTATGAAATAAGAGGTACGTTTTGTAGCCGATTTACACTATTGAACATTACTTCATTTGTTTCTACCCCACTTTGACATTCGGTCGTCAATGAATTCCAAATGGCGAAATGAGGCAAATTAAGTATCTCATTAATAAATGAAGTGAGATTAAAACTGAAAACTGGTTTTAATTAACTAAAATAAATTTCAAAACACAAATAAAATAAAGACAAGCTATTTATATAATGTAGGCGAAGATGTGTTTTTTTAATACATATTAACGTAGAAAATATATCGACAATTGCATAACTCATTTAACATCTTATATAATTAAGTTTTCCGTCAATTATAAACTAAGTGCCTACATAAGATTACATATTCAAACAATATATCTCCTATCTGGTTCTCAAGTTACCAAGCCCTTCATACCACGGAATTAAATTTGTTTACTTAGGAATAAGCAAGTCAACGTTCCTTAAACCTTTTAAGTTTTGTACAAACATGTACAGCCAGCGATAAAAGTCGATTAACACATCTAAATTCTAGAACATTAGAAACTTATTCTTCTGATATGATTTTCATTAATGTTCTTGAAATCCGTATCTCTATTTGTATAAAATATGTATTTTTGCACTTGCGTGTACCTAAAGCTGTAAAGTTTGTTTGTATCTTATATATAAAATTCTCGTGTCACAATGTTAGTTACCATACTCCTCCAAAACGGCTGGACCGATGTTTATGAAATTTTGTCTGCACATCGGATAGGTCTGAGAATCAGCCAACATCTATTTTTCATACCCTTAAATGACAAGGTGACCCACCCCTAATTTTTATTCAATATTTCCTAGAAATAATGTATATGGCAAAACAACGTTTGCCGGGTCAGCTAGTAAATAATTAAAAGTGGATAAAGGAACCTTTCAACATCCTATTCAGTGTTGTTAAATGTCATGATATCATGATAGTCAAGGTAATAAGCTTGTCTTTTAAAAACATTTTAAAACCATACATACAGCTGTTACATATACCTATGTATAGTCACATATAGCTGTTTAAAGGTTTATGCAAAAATGTATTTGGAAAGCAATATGTAAATCTATGTTTTCTCACGAGGCGATCGTACCTATTACCTACTTTACTTCAATGTTATTATGTTATAAAACTCTTATCAATGCCCGTTTTCAGTAATCGCTAAGTATGTAGGTAATACTCTAGAATTGAAATTGAGTAGTGTAGTTAAGTGCCGATAAAAACTATAACCATAACTGGTCTGACCCACTATGCATTCGATCGATAACAGCTATAAAACATGCTGTAGGTTTAATATATTCTCTTATCTTAATAATGTTACGAGCACTCCTTAAATACATCCTCGAGTGTTGGATTTGCTTCTACACTTAACTATTTAAATTAACTTTTGTACTATCTAAGTTTGTAAGCTTATAAATATGTAAGTACTTGGCCTATTATCACGATGGGATGCAGCTGAACTCAATTACATGTATAAAAATATAACTAAACAATGAGAAGTTTTAAAGAATTTTAATAACATACTGACTGAATAGATCAAAAGCAGAGAAATCTTTAAAAAACATATATTTCAAAGTCATAAACTTTTGGCTATTAAATGAAATTCTAAATATTTTTCAGAACAAGATTAAGACAAGAACAAGTTCATAAAATATTTTCTCTTTTGTTTCAGTTTAAAATTAGAATGCGAGAAGCTGGCTAGTGAAAAAATTGAAATTCAGAGGCATTATGTCATGGTGAGTAATATTTTAGACACTTTGAAACACTGGTGCACTTGTTTATGCACACGTATTTATTCAAAGTTTTTTTTAGAAGTATTTTGGTACAGAAATATTTTTAGGCACCCTGTCTCTGTATGTTTTAAAAGTCATACAATTCAATACAAAAGCAATTGTTCTCTCGGTATTTTAGTACCGCAGGAAAACATGTACATAAATAATTAAATAACAATAGTGACGCATTATAAAACGTATGTCAGTAGCTTATTTAACAGTTGAATAGAGATGTTTATTACATGTAACAGTTGTTATGGTGTGTGAAATCTATAAATGTGTCGCTTTGTTCACCGCCCGCATGTCACAATGACAAAAGTTTTTATTTCATTAGATAGAATGCACCCCAATATTAAGATGATTGTCAGTATAAAATGTTATTTATTGTGATTGTCTTCCTGTATTACATCTCAATTTCAGAGATTGAGCAAGGGCATGTTTCTATTAGTTCATTGAACAAAATAATAAAGAACTTATTCGATAGCAAGTGTGTTGAGATTTATTTTGAGACGATAAGCTCATAACACTCCTGCGACGTGTGATTAGTTTGTAACTGTTTATTCTCCCATTCATTCTAAGCAATAAAATTTCTGAAAATGTTGTTACTATATCTTGTTCGTAAGCTTAACATTAAAAGTAATATCAGCCGTTGTGTTTTGCTAAGAATTTAAAATTATGAGTATTTACATAAAATAAACTATGTGTGTTAAGATCAGGGTTTTATAACAGTGTTGTATAAATCATGTGATGAAAAAATGCTGTTACAAGTGTGCGTAGGGAAATTTATCAGTAGCTGTTTCAAGAGCAGATGATTTCTTTCATATGTTGATATATTACGGTATGCGTTAATCTCAACGTGTACGTTCCATTCTGATATGAATCACGATTAAGTGTTGCCAAATCGTTCGCAATTTATTTTAATACGGTCGAGAGAAAAATTTCTCGAGAATTTTTATGTGTCGGAAACACTTCTGGCTGCGGCCCAAACAGTGCCAGTGCGGATGTTTAGTCACTCGGCTCCTATAATTTGAGGAAGCTAATCTGTGCCAAAAGCGCACCGTGTCACTACTCGCTCGTTACATTTACACTCATAAATTGTAATCGATTCAACTAAAGCGTGTTATTTATGTTTCAGTACTATGAAATGTCGTACGGCCTCAATGTGGAAATGCATAAGCAGGTATGTAACATTTATTTACTATAATTATAGCTAAACAAACTCATTTATGTATAACAAATAGTTTGGCTATAAATACAAATAATAGTGTGTTTGTATCACGCCGAAAGCAGATGTTGGCTTTGTTTTGAGTGGAAAAATATAAATATAAATAAAAGATGAAGGGCGAAATATAGCTATATTTTAACAACGGCGGTCGGGCGAATTGGCGCATGGGGAAATGTTGTAAAAGCAAAAAAACGTGTTATTGCGCTGCGCCTGTTTGTTGGATAAACGTTGTTTGACAGCGAGCCTCGCAGGCGTCGAGCGGGAGGCGCTCAGTAGGAGAGTGGGGCAGGTGGGAGGACACCGCCTGGTCAAGCCACTTTGTTGACAATTCGGTTTTTCATTTGCACCGACTTGCTATTTTAATTGTGTATTCATTCGTATTTTCGTACATTCAAAGCAATTTAACAAGCATTCACTGTAAATTTCCATAAAAACGTAATCATAGACTGTTCACCCGGTGGAATTAATATTTAACGTTATGATGACGGGGTTTCATTTCAATACAACACATTATTATCGGAATATTGTCGGAAGGGAGCGAAAGTTGTACAAGCTCCCCTAATGCGCGTGACTAAAGCACAGAAACTATATCTATGAATTAGGCGCTTAGTAGAATTCACAAAAAGGGGACCCTTGTAGGGTTGTCAAAATACGAACAAGTTTTTTTACACCAATACTTAATAATTTATTTTGGCAACAGAGATGTAGGTTTTATGCAAGATTTATTTCTAGTGTGTAACTATATTGAAATAAGAAGGAGAATTTAATATCTAGTCTGTCGTGATTCTACAAGAAAAATACTGTGAGTTTAAAAGTGTTTATTGATTTAAAAATAATCTCGCTGGTTATGACAACCCTGACACCAAGAGAGCCTTAACAATAGCTATCGTAACAAATAGGTACGCACACTTAGGGGTGCCACACAGTCGAACCCGAGGGTGCTACGCCACGGGGGGCTTCATGGTAATCTGTTGATTTTACGCTCGCCAGCCTGTCTCGAACCCCGCTTTTATTAATAACACCGTGTGCTTTAACACGTTTTGTAAAAGGTATCACAATCAATTTACTACAACGGATACCTATATAAGTAATATGAAACACTCATTCGTTTCACACAATTAATATTCACACGTGGCTTAAGTGAACAAGACAGGTGCAAGTTATTTTCCTTTACTTTACTTGTAGTAATTTCAAGACGAAACGATTCACAAGAAAAGTTCGTAATTTAACGAATACTGAAGTTATGATTTTGATAAACTGCTTCTACTAAGTTAGAACATTAGATTGAAGGTCCGTAAAGCCGTCGGCGGTGAGTGGTATTTGTTTGGGTTCTGGCAAACTAGCAAACGAGGGGTGATTACGACAAAGGGTCGTATTGTTTGGTGTCGTGGCGGACAGATGGCGGCCTCCATCCACTAGTTCAATGCTTGAATGCGCTATTTAGCGTACAGTGCCGGGCTTCATTGTAATGGATTATTACATTAGCACTTAACACGCTCAGTCTAGCGAGAACCAGAAATGCACCCCGTCGACTTTGTTAAGCTTTTATGAGCTGCATGCGAACATTATACAATAACCAATAATGTTTTCCCTTTTTTATTTGGTATTGCATGTATTTATTCGCCTCAAATTAAACACTTCATTAGATGAATTGAAATTTCTTTAAACATAAGCAAGCCCAACGATTTCCAAATTTCGAAGGTACAAGTAATTTCAATACATTTAATTAAAAACTTCTTCAAAAATCTAAAAAATAAAAAAAGTTTTTTATTTATTTCTTGGACTGAAAAATATTTATGTTTTCATATAATATGTTGTTTATTACCTTTTCTTTTGCGGCAAGGCCGTGCGGCAATCCCCTCGGATACCACCTTGTTCATTACCGGTCTTCTTACAATGGTGTATGGTAAAAAATCTATAAAATCTGTGATAATAAGTAATATTAAAACAGCAACTTAAGGAAATATGGCAATAATTTTGAGTGCTTGGACGCAGATTCCCGCAGTCGTCGTGACCGAGTCGCGCTAGTCGGCGTGACCGCGACTAACACGCGTTTTCCGCTCTTTCTGACGACGACTAATTGCTTAGATTTTCTTTTGTTAGTCGCGGGGCCGGACCGTAGTGCGACCGTGCCGAATCACACCTACTTACGCTGTGAATTGATTGTTTCGTCTTTGTGTGGCTGTATCGACACGGAGACTTATTGTTCTGTGCTTCGAGCTATTATTTACGCTCGGACTGACTTTCACGCTGTCGATTATCGCTCCGGTTTCCTTACTTAGAATCGTAGTATGACGCAAATCCTTTATTAGCGTAGATTGATGCAGTTATTTGTATTTCGAGTGCCCACGTATCCGTTTATATAGCGTTCATCTATGTGACGTGTTGAAAGAGACAATAGAGTCGTGCTCAACTCCAACGTTTGGTAGGATGTCGATAAAATACTTTGTCGAGGTTTACGAGCGACACCCCTGAAGGGTGCACATGTCGCCACCCTCGCTCGCGCTGTTATGGACGTTATGATATATCAAGCGACTCGTTGCTTTGCAATACGCCACACCACAACCCCTAGTTTCGTAGCTTTATTGTTTTTTTTACCAGATAATAAAATATTTGTTATTTAATCTGTTCTAATAGAAAAGTTATTTGTTATTATTCCAGGGATTAACAATGATAATCATAATATACAAATGGGTACTTGGTTAATCAATTATTACGTAGCATTCGAATTAACAAATTTTCAATTATTATTATTTTAATTTCTTAAAAATTCGTTAGTGTTTTTTTTTATTTACGCAAGTCAAGTATACACTAAATGAGATTGAAATACACTACTTATATTGTCTAAATTTAAAAAATACTACAATAGAAAGTCCTATTGTTAAAACGTAGATATTTATTATTTATAAATCCCCTTGTAAGATAGAAACTGATACAATATAAGTAGGGTGAAATATATGTTATTATCTTCAATGATTCATTCAAATAGTATGCACGCATAAAATGCACCAAAATTACAAAAGAAAGTATTTCACGCAAAGCATACAAACATAAATCCAATTAAGTTATCCAAGCGAGTAAAACTCATTCCATCAGTAAGGCATTCTAGCGAAAAATCCATTTCAATACTTTCGTAGCTGTACGTGTCCGTATAATTTAATAATCTCTGGGTTATTGCGATTCCATCCATTCCGTTGTGCGAGGGTGGGCCGATGCGCTCAAATTATTCATGCGCGGCCCGGAGCATTGTTTGCCCCCGCATTAGGGCGCACCCTCGCCAAGCGCTCGCACTCCGACGTTCTCATTGATAAAAACACAGCACGTGGCATAGCTTACCTACTGCTTATAATAATAGCTGGGGGACGTGAGCCGTGTCTAACCACACTATGTTTACAAGTTCGCTATAGACAGAAATAGATATAACGCTATCATTAGGTTACTCTGGTATGAAGTCCACCTAATCAAACATTAAGGCCTTAGATTAACGATTCATATCATAATGATTGTTAACTAAATACTATTTAATCGAACGAAAAACATCGATCAACAACAAACGCTTATCGGTCTAACCATTTTAATACCTAATGCATCTTCTAAAGCCGTAATTTGATGATTATCCAAAGTATAATTCACTTGTAAGGTACATGTGATTCAACGTTATGTTACGGTTCATAAAAGGCGTAGTCTAATAAAGTACCTATGGTATAAACTTATAAACAATGGCCCGACGCGACGTCGCGCGGCGTGCCTTATCAAATTATAGCCGTTGAGTGTTCACATCAACATGCAGGTAGTCGTTAAGGGTCCCCGCATAATAGGAGCCCTATCTTGTACATCTACACGCGGATACAGCGCTGTGAATTGTCTAAACGAACGCAACAACTCACAGTGAACGTTCAGACGCTTTGCCGGTTCAGGGTTGTCAGGCTGTGTGAAATAATTTTTAAACAGTGCTCAGAATTATAGATAATTGTAGGAAATGTTAGAATTTATTGAATTCCATTTAATCATTGAACTCATTAATAAAATAGTAAAATATCATTATCTTCAACATACTAACTTTTAAACTTTCGCGTTCCATGATAATTAATATTATTTAACGGGAATTAACGCGATCTCTTATTTAGGGTATTACATACCTCTGGTTTGCCTGACGTTTCGACCAGGTTGCACCGGCCGTGGTCACAGGCTGACTCATATCTGTACAAATATATGTAATACCCTAAATAAGAGATCGCGTTAATTCCCGTTAAATAATATTAATTATCTTCAACATAATTCTAAAAAATGACAGGTTGTTGATAACATTTTATCTACTTCATAAAGCTAAGTTATTTAAGAATAATTATATTAGCATCTAAAGGGTGTTTTTCTTCGTATTGGATAATAATTAAATAGAGCTAAGTTTTTCAAGCCGAGACTACTCGGTTCATTTAGTTTCGAACTCAAACGTAAAATTATTACGGCCGTACAAATATATATTCGGTTAAAACATTTAAAGTGTGCTGGTAACCCTGATCACGTTCCCTTCACTTTAAAAGCGAAATTATCTCTCCATCTACAGGGTGCGCGGCAGATGGCGCTTGCAATAAAACCACTAAACGCGATATCGCCGCTCGCTGCCCCTTCGTCCGCTTTATTATTTGATCGGGGAGCCAAATTAAAGGATTTTCCGTAACCCCTCGCTGGCGACCCTCGCCCGCCAACAATCACCTCTGTATTAAGTCTAATTGTGTTTTCAAATTCGACCCCTATAATACCGGGGACGTGATATTCTGTAGCATGTGAAAAAACAGGGCGTAGTTACCCTCGTTGCTTTATTAAATTGGTCTTATTGTACAGCGTGCTCTTAAATAGTTTCTTTAGCAATTGACTAGCAGAGTGAAGCTACTTTTTCGTTCTTGTATTAAGTATAGTACTTACTTTATAGGACGTGACCGTGAATACTGTTCACG